GGGGGAGGAGGAAGAGAAGGGGAGGAAAATTAAAAAGCAGACGCAAAGTAATTCATTATTTTAATGAATTGTAAAAAGAAAAAAAATATTTAAGAAAAAAAGAAATTATGGAAAATGTCACAGCGAAATGAGAATTACAATTGTATAAATCATTCTTATATTTTCTCAAGTGTATAAAGAGGAAGGATATCTCGCAAATTAGGAGATAAAACCCCAACCTCAAAAGACAACGTAAATAAGAAAGCATTGACTATTTCTCCAAAAGTCAAGCATTTTGTCAATTTTATTCTGAACAGTGAAAGCGCTCACATTGGCCTTTCCTACTACATATTCCCTAACTCGCTTTTTATTTTTACACTGAGAAGACTAAAATCATCTCATTCTCGCCGCACTCGCCAATTCGATCATTTATATCTTCCCAATCATACACTTCGCCGAGGTCCTCTAGCTTACCCGCGAGGGCTATGGACGACGAGGTACCTGTAGTACAAGAAAAGCTGCCTGTAGAGGGATACAACTCATCTCCCTCTTCCTGCACGTGATCCCCATGAAGCTTAGCCGTTTGTTGACGAGACCGAAGAACCAAACAGCTATCTTCCGCGCCTTCCTCATTGTCTATGGAGGATCCACAGTTAACGGGGGTTGTAGCCCGCATATTTTCCACCTTTTCCTTTCTCCCCTCTTCCTCGCTGTCGACGCTTGAGCTGAACAACCCTGTGGCGTTGACATCGTGGTGGTAAAGCTCGACAAACCCTCCTTGTGTGACACGCATGTGGAGTGGGGGAATGCCCGCGAGCTCCTTTTCGTGGCGTTCGCGATGGCGATCAGGGCCGTTGGAGCCTCGGATAAATCCCGGAAAGGCCCCCCCGCCGTAGGAGCCCAAAAAGGAACCGAGGAGAGTCCCAAAGCCCGGCACGAGGGCCGTCCCGAGGGCCGCCCCCACTCCTCCCCCCACCACCGTTCCCACCCCTACGTATGCGAGGGTGGTGAGGTTGTAGCGATACTGTGCGAAGGAAAGCCGCGCGGTGGAGGGAGATCTTTGCGAGCTTTTGTGATGATATTTACCTTTTCCTCTGTAAAACCGTCCGCGGAGCAGGCGTCCACTCTCCACGCTCGCCTGGATTGCGGCGGTAGCGAGGGCCGACGCGAAGTGGCCCTTCAGCCCGATCGTCAGGGCCTGCCGTCCCAGGGAGCTCTCCCCCAGGCCCGCCAAAACCTCCCCCAGGGCAGGGCTCGCGAGGGATTCGGAAAGCAACGAGACCACCCATCCCAGGGCTCGCGGCGTGCGGAGTGAAATGCGCACGGCAATAAGGCGAAAAATCTCCCCTTGGGCCGATTTCCGTACCGCCCCTGAGATTCCCACAGCTTCACGCAGAAAATCCGGCGCTAGCCGCTCTACCATAGCCGCGGCCAACATTGTCTTCGCCGCCCCGGCCCCGACCTGTGCGGCGACAAAGTGCAGTTCGCCAAATAAATCTTGAATTAAAAACTTCCCCATTACTGTGGCTAAACGGAGTACCACTGAGGGACAATAAAAAATAACCCCCAATAAAAAAAACAAGGTTGTGGATCAACCCCCCAAAAAGAAGCAAAAGGCACTAGTGAAAGAAACAGTAACGGGGCATGAATAAAGGTAAGAAAAAAACTACAACCACTACACCTAAAGATATCGTGTAGAAGCAGAGGAGGGATGGGTTTAGACAGGAAAAAGAAATCAGAACGTAACAGAAGAGATCAACCCATCTATGGTGTTGAGTAACACAGAGCCGCTTGAGGGACTGCAATATTTTGAATAATTTATATAGGTCCATCTGATTTGGTGGATCCTAAAAAAACATGGAAACTAAAATGGAAAGGGGAGAAAAGCAAGGTCGTCGTTGTCTAATATTCTAAAGATCAATAATCGCTAAATTCATTGTTCTATGAATAGTCATCTTCTAATTCAGTGGATCAAGGTTGGATTTATTTGCCCTCCTCCCCCTCTTCCTTTTTCACAACCTACAATACTGCATCTATGAAATCCTGACATGGCATGAATTGTGTTGAGGGCATTAATCCCTATTTTCGCTGTTCAATTCTTATTCGCGGAACTCACCCACCTTTCAAAGTCTTCTCCTCCTACCCATGGATTGGCAGATTCTGCGGTCGTTTTGGCGTCCGCGTCCGCCTCGCGTGGGGGCGTAATATTCCCCTTGCATAATCCGGGTCATCACGGGCTCCCCGCGAAGAAGTTCCTGGTGGTGGGGGTTATCTAAAGCCCAACGCCCGGCAAATCTCTCGGCGAGCCTCATCGCGGTGTAGTCGTTCGGCAGCAGGAGCGAGGTGCCTACTTGAGCCGAAGTGAGATCGACATAGCGATCCACCGCTCGGCGGCGCGGGATGCTCCTTTCGTGCCGTCGAATCCACGCCAAAGAAGCGGCAGAAGGGCCCTCCCCCGGGGCCTCCTGGCGGGAAAGCCCGTGGGATCGTTTTAAGCGTTGCATGGCCAAACAAGAGCGGTGGGGGTCGGCGTTGTGGGGCGGGGGGTGGGACTTATGCAGCCCGCGACAATCCCACGCCGGACGGGGGTCCCGACTACCCGCTGGGTTGCTATTGGGATTCGCCGTGAGGCGGTGACCCTGGCGGCCGTCACGACTCGGCCCGCCTCTCGAATTCGGGGCAGCCGCGGAGGAGGTGGGAGGGCCTGGTGCGCTGGAGGAACGGGGATGATAAGAGGTGGAGACGAACAGGCGCGCGACCGCGGCGCGATTGCGCTGACGTGCCTCTGAGAGGTCTTTTGCATTGGTGCGCATTTGTGGTGGTGGTTACAAATGAGGTTGGGATTTTTAGATAGATATCTGAAATGGCGTGAGATCGGGATCGATCAAAGAAACCCCTTCTCCCCCTTACACACACACACAGAATAGATAATGGATGATAATACTAAATGTTATACTCTACGTTACAGAGTTGTTCGGTTTTGGACTTCAGGAATATGAGCTTAGGAGAGAGAAAGAAAGGGATGGGATGAAATGTCGGTAACATCAAAAAGAAACATGAGGTTGAAATGAACAAAAAATAGGAAGAACTTCAACACTTTACCGTAAAAATCGAGGAATTTTTTTTTAACTAGTGTTTTGAATATACCCCCCTCCTTTTTTTTGACTGGTGGTTTATACATACACACATGCATATCTATATATGTATATATGCGTGCAAGAATGCATCACCGTTTTTGCATTCTAGTTTGGATGAATGGGTTCACCGACAAAAATGCCCTATTTGCCTAAGCAAGGTAAATGGAAAAAAACGAAGCAACTTTTAACCAGTGTCTACTATCAATTTTTGGAGAGGGTAAGAAGGATGAAAAATAAGAGAAAAAGCTCCCGCTTTTATTTAATATCCACCATTTGAGGTGCAGCCTTTTTGACACCTAGGTGAACGGTAAAAGCGCATCATCTCATTCAATGCTAAAGAAAAATAAAGAAATACAGGTACATCGCAAACGTAGGAAGAAATAATTTTGTTCAGGGGCATGAAACAACACTATAATGTCAAAAAGAAGATAAAAACAAATATGGATCCATATCTTAATAAAGGCTAGCCACGTAACACAGGGTCATATTTCATTGCCTTTTCTCCTTTTTACTCGCATAAAGTCTCAGTTTTCAACCTCAGAGAAAAAAAAAAGAAACACATTGAGTAAAAAGTGAAGCAGCTGCAAAAAAAAAGACAAAAAAAAACGTATATAAAATGAGCAATACAAGAGAAAAGGGAGATCGAATTTTATGCAGGGATTATGATTACTATGCTATACACTCTTTTTTATTATCATTTTTTGTGGGAAAATCCTCACATTCTAATTCTCTACGGTCTCTCGTTTACCCTCTTTTTATGTTTTTCGTACATGATGTATATCAGACTTTTGTCTTTCTTAAAATAGTTCCCATTTGGTACATTTTGCTCATTTTTTTGTTTTTTGTCTAGATAAACTCCACCTTTCCATTTATCAATCCTGAGCCCCACTACGCATCTTAGCGCTCAACACATCGGGCAGCTCCCACAAGTCATTTTTCACCTTAAACGGCTTCGCTAGAAAATTTTGTGGGGCTTTTTGCCAGTTAAAGTACGGGTTCGGGTATTTCTTGCCGCTTCTCCATAATGGGAGGTTCTCATGGGTGGCGTTCTCCCAGATCGTGTTCTGCAGGTGGCCGGAGGTAATGCGAAGGTATCGAAACTGCGCAGCGCTGTTGTTTCGATTCGTATCAGGATCCACGCGGTGTTGGAGGTCGGGCGCGAGGGACCCCCACGCGGCCTGCCGCTGGAGCTCCTTATCGGCCAAATAGCTATAAAACAGCCGCGTCCCCGAGGCGACATTCCGCCGTGAGTACTCGTAGTACATCCCTATTGTCCCCGTCATTGTAAACCAAAAAAGCGACTTTTTCCATCGTCCCATGTAAAACGCGTAGGCCAGGGCCGGCCACACACTCGCGGCTGCGCGCGCGAGGTAGCACTCCTGGCCCTCTCGCCACGCCAGCTTCCACGCGTTCGGGGACGGGTCGGCGATGCGAAAAGGCCAGGGGCCATGGGTGTAAAGGTACTCATAGGTGTAGAAGTACCCACCTGCCCCTATTAGCCCCGCCAGGTTCACGCGAATGATTCCCATAATAAGGACAATCGCCCAGGCAAACCGCGTACGAGGGTGCCCGGTCGGCGCGAAGCTGTTCTGGGCCTTCGCGTAGAAAAGGTTTACATGCCAGACGTTCAGCCCGATAATCCAAAGCCGGACGATCTCACTCGTGTGGTGGGACTCCGTGTAGGGTACCTCCTCGTAGGTCCCGACGAACTCGTTCAGGGAGATGTGCCCAAAGGCGAGTTTTTGAGTCCCAAAACGCCGCGTCTGATGGGTTTCGTCGAGGGCGTTAAACGGGGAGGAGACGTCGACGAGGGGGCGCGGCCCTTTCTCGTGTGCGGAGTCGACGTAATTCCACCACCACGACATCCGATGTGGGGGGGCTGGGCCCGACTCCTCCCCGAGCTCTCCCCGCGCGCGATCTAGACCCTCATGTTTGAGGATGTCTTCATTGATTTTCCTAGAAAACATACCGTGTTAGGGGGTTTGTATATGTGAATTAGTGTGTATGTACGTCGTTCCTTTCTCTTTAGGCAATACAGTAACAAGATCTACGCTACGCTGGCCGACTCCCTTATTAACGTTATTAGGATTTAAATAGTGTTTCTACGTTTCTTCACTAAGCTGATAAGTGTAAATACGATTTCACTTTCTGTTTATTTCTAGTATAACTTTATTTTTATGTTGTCTGGAAGCTTAACTATAATAGTAATAATAATGATAATAATAATAATAATAATAATAATAATAATAATGATGATGATGAAAGATAAACAAGGAAGCTTTTTCCTTTTCCTAATGTATACGTCTATACAATGTGAAAATAAATACTAAATAAATAAGTTCCCGTAGAGGGAAAAGTACCTAATAAAGGAACGACACACGCACCCCCCAATGCGAATAAATATAAGCAACACTAAACGGCAACGCAATGTAGGTGTGGGCCGCTGAGAAATTACCTTTGCAGTAGTGTTTTCCCTTTCTTTCCTTTATTTGTTGTCGATTTGAGGGAGAGAGGGGAAGGGGGGGAGGGGG